GAGACTGTCCGCATCGACGGCCCTGTCTGCATTGCCAGGGCAATCACCATGCCGTTTTGTGCCTGGGTGCGAACGGCGTCTCCTCTCGGGGCTCTGCCAGGCCCTCGACCCCCACGGGCGGGGGCGCTCAGCCACGCCCTCTGCTGGGCGACAATCGGCGCTCGCCGGCCAGCCACCAGGCCCCTAAGTTTGAAAGGGGCCCCTCCCCCAAGCAGTTGGGGGGTAATTCCCCCAGGGGCGGGGGTGTCATCACCCCCCCTCAGCGTGTGGAGAGGAACTTCACGGCCACTCATCGGTCCGCTGGACCCTTCTCACTTCCGTTAGCTGAGTGGCCGCGACTGGTGTACCACTGTTCCCCATTTGATGGAGGCGGCCCTGTCTAGCTGCTGCCTAGTTCCCACCACGGCCGCCTCCACTGAGCCTTAAGCCGTCAACAGTCCACTTGTCAAAATGTTCTGTTGCCGACGGCCTCAGTGAAGGCGTACAACCCGAGTGGCAACTGTTAAAGGTTGTGCTCTATTTATCTCGGGTTCACGCCATGTGGCCTCCCCTTAGTGGTGGGAAGATTAGGGCCCCCTCTGGAGCGTTGAATCACGTTGTCAAGGGGTATTAGATTTGGTTTGGTCGAGCACTTAGTCAAAAAATACTTGAATTAAAATTAAAAATTGCTTTGGGCTTTCCGCGAAATTTTCCTATTTGTAGCGGTTTAAATTAAAAGAATTGAATTTAATCTACTCCTTTAAATGCTACTGCATGTGTTTTGTACATATATTTAATCACTGTATTTGATTGTTGCGTTTGTTTGCTGAAAGGAAAATTTGAATTCATCTGAAATGGAATGGCGCACTATTTGAAAAATTATGTTTATGTTTATGATAGTGTTTAATCATTTTGCTTTGCGAAGAAGTAGGGCTGTCCCTTACGTTATTGTTTTGTTTAATTTTCAAGTTGACCTATGCGCATCGGTGATTAATTTGGTTGAATTAATTCTGTAGTTGAACATTGATGCTTTTGAGAAATTAGTTGAAATATGAGCATAGGACTACTTGCCTAACAGGCTAGCTAGTTTTGGAGATTATCTGATTGAAATCAGCTGCCGCGCTATTTTAGTAAATGATAATATGGTGGGTGGCCTGGCTAGGCCTACTTGTTGAAAATTCATACTAGGGACTATCTGTGCGTTTCGTTTGGCTCTCCACAGACGACGTTCATGTGGAATTTGTGGGTGCGCTCTGCACTGAAGCAACTGCTGGCACAAAATTTGTCGGGGCAGCTTCGTGTAGCGTCGCTGTTTGCAGAGCTGATCCGGTCGGATTGCGGAACTATTCATAGGGGCACAGATAGGTTTTTGAAGGAGGTCGTCGGACTTCTGTCCAGTACAGGACTTGTTAAAGTGCTGCGATGCCCAGGAGGGGCATCCAGTGGAGGCTGACCCTCCGGCTTGCCACATTAGGGCTATTTTTTGAGGCGCTGGTTAGGGTTGCAAGATCTGATGGGATGCCTAAGGTGGCCTAGTTTGGTTGTAGATTCGGTCTTGCAACTTGCCTTCGCGACCTTGTCCCGCTGACCGGTTTGCTCGCGGACCTAAATCCTTATGTCCGGGACGGGGGTTTGTTCGCGCAAAACTCTGTTGTCGGAATCGACACCAGATGTCACTCGGCTCGGCGCGATTCCGGTCTGAAGTTCTTCCGAGCTTGGCAGTGGCGCGCGGGTCGCAAGCGAGTCAGTCATCGGCCGGATGTGCTAATGTTTGCACGCTGTTAATTTTGTGCGGGAACCGCGGAATAGTTAGGGCGTCTAGTAAATATCCTGTCTAGGAATTATAACGCGCATTCCCTGTTTGGATAGCCTTTCCCGGGACTTATTGGGTCCGACTCAGAATCTGTATAAGTGCATTCGACAATATAAGCTAGTGCGGCCTCTGTATTTAGAATTTATCTATTGCCACGCGAAACGGTAGTGACCTTTGACCCAGAAACTCCGGGCGTGTTTTGTGCGGTAACCTTATACCCCGCGATAGTTAGTGGCTTCTGTAAGCTAGTTAATAGTACGATAGAGTTAAGTGACTAGCATCGTGGTGAACCAAGAAAGTGACTGTGGATAACCTCGAAAGGCCCCCTCAAGTTGGAGCGGTGTCGACGCTCGGGCTGCTGCCGACGGCTAAGGTCTAGGTTCAATCACCATCAGTCACACCCAGATACACACCACATCACCATTCTTTCCCTTGCACTACACAACCACATGCGACCTGACCGACTCCGGAGGAACCAGTCGCCTTGGATAGAGGTAAGTGAACTCCGCCAAATTCCTTCCGGTCGACTGGCCGTAGTATAACGCTCCCCCATATATTTAGTGTAATTAGAGAACTTCCACGTGGCCTTAGGAGGCCCGACCTACGTTTGCTCGGGAAGTCTTCTGCTGATGGGCCCCGGGGGATTGGATCCTTTAAGGGAGCAACCGTAGGCCGTAACAAGCTAAATGAGGCCCGAATGAGAGAACTTTAACGGAAATTCCCCACAGATCCGCAGTTTTCTTAACATCAATAGTTTTAAAATATTTTACAATGTCTTTTGATGACACTTTATGAAATGTAAAATTCTTTGTACACACATTTACATTTTGTTTAAGTAATGATTCGGCGACGGCAGGAGAAGAATTCAGTGACTTAGTGGTCAAGATCGGAATATCAGTAAAATATTTCTCAAAAATCATTGCTACGTCCTGATCTGATACAGTTAATTTGTTGTTAACACTTAACTGGTAATTTGAATTGCGAGAGTTGATCTTACCAGTTTCGCTATTAATTATACTCCGTGTCATTTTAATTTTATTGGAAGCCGTCTTAATTTTGTTGCTCAAATGGAAAGACTTGGCTATGGAGCACCGATCCACTACTTCAAATCCAGTAACATTTAACGATTATCTCACGACTAATATGGACGCGGTTGCACAAAATATAGACACAATATTTACAGACTATTTCAAATATTTCGATCGCATAAATCATTCCATTTTCTACCCACTTCAAAAAGGAGGAGGTATTCAATTCGACTGTATGTTTTCTTTTATGTGTGTTACCTCATAACATTTAACATTTTTCTTGGTGAACCTATTAGATGATTCTGTTTTTATTTGAGAGCTGGTGCTTCTCATGTGGTTACATACTCGTATAAATGATCAAGGTCTGACCAGTAGTTTTTAAGCTATCCTTAATAATTTATATTGAAGTCGGTTGTACAAAATTTTTAATTGTATCACTTGTTGCATTTTTGCTTTAGTACGCAGGGGTGCATGGTAACTTATTAAGATTCCTTTGCTCATATATTGCGAATAGTTCACAATCTGTAGCGGTGTATGGTTATTAATCTGAATGGGAAAACGTACCTTCTGGTGTGCCACATGCAAGGCTCGATTTTGAGGACGTTGCTATTTATAATATTTTTATAAATTATGTATGTGTATATGGATGTGGAGGAAGCGAGAGAGGTGTCTCAGCATGGTGCCAAATAGAAGCCCAGTCTCTGCCTACCTCTCTGGGTGACAGGCGTGTGTCTTTATGTATGTATATATTTTTGTGTTTCAAACAATAAAATTGTTTTTTTTTTTTACATAAAAAATATCTTAAGAATATCTAAAATACACGACAGCAATTTACTACAAGAAGACCTAAATAGATTTTTATTATATTATCAAAGTAACAAACTTGACCTTAATATCTCTCTAAATGTCCTCGCAAAAACGAAACCAATCAGTCATGTCAAGTTTATAATTACCATCTAAAATCTAAATAACCAAATCCAAACGAATATTTAGCATGTAAAACATCTGGCTGTCATCCAAGATTCCAAACTTTTATTGATTAACATAATATTGATTATTGCGAGTAAGACTTACGCATTTAAGTGTTTTAAGAAAAATAATGTTCGCGATATAATTGTCTGATAGCGAATAAGAAAGTAGATTCGCAAGAAGTTTAGAAACGCTTTACATTCGCTGTTCTGCACAGCACTAATATCAGAAGCAAGCTTAGATTGTACGTTCCATTGGTACGTACAAAATATCGACCTTGTTCGCTTGCAGACTTTATAATTTAAACAGCGATTGAACTGAAGCGGTTATATTTTCAGTAGTACACTAAAGCTAGATCTGGCGACAGAGTTTGTGGATTCTTATTGCTTAATTACTTATAGATTTTATTCAAATCTAGTTTAAGTTAAAAGATAATAATTTACTTTATCGCAAACCTCCTTAGCGTGCGATTCTGCGATCTTTGTAAAGGTTAATTTTTCAAACTGATCTAGATTTAACAAAATGACCACATTTGGCAGAAAGATTGGGGGATCAGTGCTATAATATATATCACACTTAGACGATTAGATCCAATAGATGTCTGTACTGAGAGCCATGAGATCTATTAGCATTTCTCATAATAACCCCTTACGACACTCATTGAACGAAATATGGTGACAGATTCTGTTCCGCTACACTTCTAAAATATAACTTAAAATTTATAAAACACCGACTGCAATGTAATTAGGTTGCAGTGAGTGTGCGAGACAACATTCAGCGCGTGTCAACTGCAGCGATCTCATCATGACCATGACCAAACTGAAATATCTATGTCCGTACAATGTTATGAATGTATTTACGCTTATTATAAAATTACTTTATGCATTTAAAAATATGTCAAACTAGCTGTGCCTCGCGACTTCGCCAACGTGGAATTTACTAGGATTTCATGGCTTTTATTTTTTTTTGCGCGGAACCCTAATTTTTTTCTCTCTAATATAAAAGTATCCTAAGTTACTCCTTATAACATCAGCTCCTATAAGTTCAGCCGTTTCGGAGATTAGTCGGAACAAACAGATAGACAGACACAACAATTTAAAAAAACATTTAGTAAAAAACTGTTACTTTAACATTACAAACAGACACCGCGTTGTGATCCGCTAATGGTCTATATATTTATCAACTTATATATTTTGGTTATTTTCACTTACTTGCAAATGTCGGAAGCGTCTGTTTCACCAGAAACTAAAGCACGCCAAAACTCGTGCACCTGCGGACAAATAAAACAGTAAATAGACTTATAACGTTAATGAAGGACGTATTGAGAAAGGTTTTCTTTTTATAGTATAAGGGTGGCTGCTGTGGCACAGAGACATCTACATCTATCCTCGATTGAAAATCAAAATGCAGATGCGTTGTCACCCTTGAGGCTTAAGATGGAATGCTTCTTCTATATCGAAAGGGTCTCAGGTTTTCTACACTCACCATACGAAACAGCAGCGTTGAGTGATCGGTGAGAGCGTCCTACCCGGGTCGAGCCGACCAATTCGTGCTACAACCACAACATAACCGTAGTATGACTCTACGACACATATCAAGTTCTCATAGGTGACGTACCTCGTCGATAACTTTATGCGCGAAGGCGGCGTCTTTAGCCTCGCCGTCGAAGGCGAAGCGGTTGACAGGCTTGCCGTCCGGCACCTTGTAGAGGCGGAACCACTCGACGGTGGCCCGCAGCAGGCCCGGGAACACTTGCTCCACGTCAGCCACGTCGTGCAACCTGGCGGCCTCCGGGTCGCGCACGTCCACGGCGATGAGCTTCCAGTCGGTCTCGCCCTCGTCTATGAGCGCGAGCGTGCCGAGGATCTTGACGGTGAGCACGTCGCCGCGGGCCGCTACCCGGGAGCCGATCTCGATGACGTCGACGGGGTCGTTGTCCCCGCGCGCGCCGGTGGCCGCGTCCACGTGGCGCGGGTCCTCCCACGTCTGCGGCAGCGCGCCGTAGTTCCAGATGTAGCCGTGGTGCGGGAACACGTTGCACACGTAGCGCAGAGCGCCTTTCTTTATGTCCTGCTTGATGGGGTTGAGCTTCTCGCCGAGGCTGATTTCCATTTTGGCGTTGGTCCAGCGCGGCACCTCCACCACCATGTGCGCCAGGCGCTGCTCGCGGTCCGCCCACAGCGGGATGTCGTGCATCGGTGAGATCGGCCCGCTCTCGTCCTCTGCGCCCACAACATATCATCATCGTTATAGCCCTTCACAGATCCACTGCTGAACACAGGCCTCCCCCAAGGAATGCCACATACGTACTCTCTAATATATACTAATAAAACTGAAAATTCAAACCAAATTGAGATAATATACAGTTTAGCTTTTTGAAGTACCTAAGAATTGCTTAAGTTGTTTTTCTGGATAAAAACTTTACTTTGCTAAAGCTAAATATTTCTTAAGTGAGTCAGGTGCCAGTTTATAATCTATATTATATGTATAGTAAAAACGGTTGATTAATTATACTATAGGTATAAACGGTAAGATAACGCTTTCAATGTTGCAACATCTGTTTTTTATAGGAAAGGGTGACAAACGAGCACACAGTCCACCTGATGGTAAGTGGTTGCTGTGGACCATAGAAATCTACATCTATCCTCGTTTGCGAATCAAAATGCAGATGCGTTGTCACCCGTGAGGACTAAGATGGAATACCTCTTCTCCAGGAAAAAGGGTCTCCGGTTCTCTACACTCATCATACGAAACACAGCAGCGTTAAGCTGCTATTTTACGCTTTAGACACAAATTTATTAAAACAAAAGTTTAGTAGCATGCCACCGTGATTGTGACATAACGGAAGTTTTATTCACTTCCTTATATCAAAAGCTACAGACGTATTTATCGTTTGTGAAAGTGAATTAAGCCAATATTACGTAACAATCATTCCGTATTCATAATACCGGTTTGTCAACGAAAAGCTTTAGTTTATATAAAGTCTAAACTAAGCGATATCGGTTCTAAATTAAAAGTATGGATGTGTTTATTGTGCGGTAAAAATGAATTATACGTCTTTATCAAAATATGCGGACGGTTGGCGGCGATTTGCGACACATAAAATATTGAAGAAATATTCCGGGAAATAAATATTCGCATAGTTATTAAGGTATTAGCACATTTCGAAGGTATTACCAATACAAATGTATCTTACCAGCAGTGACTCTGTATATTACGGAATAAATAATGCTATTCATTTAATTTTCTGTATTCTGAGTTTAATTGTATATTTCCATGGCGTAGCGATACTAGTTGACAACATCATGTTCCTATCAGACTTGATAATTGTTGGCTTAATATTGTTTGTGATCTTATCGATGTGATGTCAATGTCGTCAGGGTGTAAATTTTTACACCTACTTTTTTAATGTACTTTGTGTATCTGGGTTCAAAGTTTACAAGAGGTGGAAAGTGTGAGAGTGATATCGAAAGAAGAGTGAATACAGGAAACATGGTGAATGGAGCTTTGCACTCCTTTATGAGCAGTCGGAAAGTGTCTAAGAAGGATCGTTTAGCTGTGTATGATTGATTCCAACACTCATGTACGGAAGTGAAAGTTGGGTATGGCAGAAGAAACATGAAAGCAGAATAAATGCAGTTAAGATGAGAGCAATAAGAGTATGATAGGAGACAAACTGAGTGACAGGATAAGAAATAGTGAGATAAGGTAATGTTGTGGTCTGAAAGAAGATGTAGTGACAAAAATTTAGAAAGGTATGCTGAGATGGTTTGGCCATGTCGAGAGAATGAATGAAGAACGATTGACGAAAAAGTGTATAAGGCGAGTGTGAATGAAAGTGTTGCAAGGGGTAGACCTAGGCGGACGTTTCTAGACCAAATCAGAGACGTCTTGAAAAAAGGCCAGGTCAAGAATACTCTAATCCGAAGAGCATGTATGAAGGGAATAATGAAAGTGGACGAAGCGAAACAAGTATGTAAGGATCATAGCAAGTGGAAAGAAGTGGTCTCTGCCTACCGCTACGGGAAAGAGGTGTGATTATGTATGTTAAATATAATTAAAAGTATTGTGAAGATAATATTGAAAATAAACATTGGTGTATTATTATAATTACATGGGCCATTCATATTTTTTTGTGAAACTAAAATTTCTGTGGTTAATGTTTATAGTGATAAAATATCTTCAAAGAAATCTCAACCAGCATATACAGTTTCATGCGTCTGGAACAATTTTTGAAACACTTTTTTCAGCCCGCCTCCGACACCTTGCTTACAAAAGCCTACAGAAGCATAGAGGGAATTTGCCAATTAGTTTCGACGTATGGAAAAGTATGTTGCAAGACATTGAAATATTTTTAAAAACTCTGAATTTCAGTAGTGTAATCTCTACACTTACGTACATACTATATTGTTTACATACACCTGAACAAGATTTTCCTTCCTCAGCAGCGTTAAGGTAACAAAGATAAGTATTTGATGAGATTTGTAGGAAAAGATATGTATTGTTCACATAATTTAATCTCTTCAATATTATAAACAAATGGACAGGTCAGACCTAAGCCAGAGTATTTGATAAACATGTCAAGTATTAAACAAACTAAATATATCTGATTACTTCCATTGATGACCACCCCACTTGAATTCAAGTGGATCTACAAATAAATACTGTAGAATAAAAGTACATAATATCCCATGCAATTGTCACACAATAGTTATGATTCAACAACTTTTATTATTTTAATCATCTCTTAAAGATAACATAAGGAATATAATACAATGCTGATTAAATTGACATAAAATTATAATTATTTATCTATGATACTGTAAAAACTTATCATCAGATTAGCACATTATTAATTTTTCCTCAAAAGGAAACAAATTTTTGTTTAAGTTATGTAATATGAACACTCCCTATTAAAAAGTAAAGTGGTAGAGAATGCCATGAGGCATTAAGTTCGCCTTTTATATCTCTTATTATAAGGTGTGTAATAAAGATTAAACCAATTAATAATTAAAATAAAAGAGTTACATATACTATCAGTAAGTTTTATAGGAACTTTAACCTCCTAATTATTTAAATATGCCGTGTAGTGGTGGCGTTAGATAATCCACTGCCATATATCCCATGGGTGTCGTAGAAGGCCGTAGAGAAACTGAAAGAGGAAATGAACATGGTTTCGTTACAAGCTTAAAATAATGAAGTCTGTGGTAGCCAAACCCGCTGCCAAGCGTGGCAACTATGCAAGCATCCCCCTACTAACTATATAGGGTTAGGCGAGGGATATTTTGAGGATGCCTATGTCCAGCAGAGGACTTTTGATAGCCTATAATAAATAAATAAAAAAACTTCTGTTTCATGACAAGACAAAGGTTATATGTCACGTCCATGTCACACCTATACCCATAGTCGTTAGAAACACTATGCTCGAAGTTATTGATGAGTATTTATACCTAGGACAAAATTTCTGACTAGGTTAATCTAACTGTGACTGAGAGTACAATCTACGGATCCAACTCGACATGGCAGCATTTGGAAGATTACAACACATTTTCTAGTCACTTGAGTCTCATGTTGAAGCTTGAGTAAGTTGAAGTGGCAATGTGCTGATCATATAGCTCGAAGAACTGACAACCAATGGAGAATAAAGGTTTTCAAGTAGCAGCCTTTTACGAGTACTCTACATTTCGTAGGGCGGCTCCATAATGTATGCAGGTAGCTTGGGACCATATTTTGTGACATTCCTTGGGGGATGTGTATGTCCAGCAGTAGAGTTGTCAAGGACTGTAATGATGAATTGTTTCATCATACATTTTACTACCACAAAAGTTTTCCTAAATCACATTTTCATGTTGGTCAAGTGATAGGCTGGCTTTATACAACTTTTGATAACAAATTATACTTGATTTTATTACTCAATTGCAAAGGAGATCACGAGGAGGGTAATAATATCTGTTTCTATGCTTGCAGTAAGTCACACATTACTTCTTGAATTTTATTAATTGGAATTTTACAGATAAAAGAACATATAGTATAAAGTCAGCATCAAATAAAATTATTGACAATTAATGGAATTTATTTTCCATATTTATATTTTTTTGTAAATATAAAGTTCAGCATGCGGCATGTGTGACCATACTTAAAGTTTACCCTACTTGATAATAAAAAGGAATCATTAAAAAATTTTCCCATTTGATGACATCACAAAACAACAAACTTTTTTAAGTCATTTCCTAAGTAATTATATTTAGGAAGTGTGCATATTGTATGTAAATTACCTTTGCCTCTGCTCAGTGGCAACTCATAAAAAATATTAAACAATGCATGAATGTTAATAAATTATAATTAAAAGTTGCCATGATAGTGTAATGTAGTTTTAATTAAAATTTTAGTTAATTTGCAAGCTGACTCATTTGGATATGGTATTTAATATCCTCATTTATACAATGTTCTGGTAAATAAACACTATTCTATTCTATTCTACATTCCCATAATTTACACATGAAATACAATAGTAGACCAATGTAGTCGGGATCTTTGTTGATAATAATAATTTACATATTTAACCAGAAAGAGACAACTGAACGAACAGTCAGCAGCCCACAGACACCTGCAACTAATTTCAAGCACAGCAGACGAAAGGTGCTGTATCCCCTCTAAGGTCTAAGATAAAACCTAACTGCCTGTAATCATTATACCTTTCTGATTGGAACAGATCAGTAGATACACTCTGCAATAACTACTGAAACTCACTAGTTTTAATCTATTAATTAGTTTTCATATACATATTATATGCAATACATAATTTCCTAAAGTACTGTTAATTTAGTGATTTTTTAATGTAATTCCAATGTTTAATTCTTTTAGTTTATTCCCTAATCACTTTTGATTAATGATTTATGTCCGATGAAGATATTCTTGTGTTATAGTTTTTCTAATTTTTATTTCATCTCTTTGCTTATATAAAAAATGTTTATTTCTCACTGTTACCTTTTATTTAAAAAAAAAGTCCCGCTGGGTTTCTTGCTGGTTCTTCCCAGGACAGAGGGTTTTTTTGAACCAGTGGTAAAGTAAAAAATGACTTTCAATAAGAATTACACATGTAATGTATATTGAATAAAAAATATTCTATTCTATTCTATTCTATGACACCTGCAGGATGATATGGGGTAGTAACAATATTTCATTGTGACTACCATTTATTATTACATTACTCTATATTTAGCCCAATTTAAATAAAATCAGAAGCAGTTGAGCCAACTTTGAAGATTTTTTTTAAATTTTAAATTATTAAGACCTCATGAAAAGATCATACATACATCAAATAATTCATTTTTGAAACAGCTTTTACATTTAGTACACAGCTGTACTAGCATTGTGGTCTATATTCTGTTATGTAAGCGCTGTTAGCCTATGTGGCTCTTACAGCTTCATCTGACACAGAGCTATTTAAAAAAGGGAAAGGAATGATGATGAGGATTAGGATGGTGTAGCTTTATGATTTGATATTGTTACCAATCATGTCCCCTCTGTTGAAGTTTTTTGAGGTATGTAACCTCTGTCCCAGTGCAGGTGTTCAAACCCCCACTTGACGCTGACTGCTTAACTCATGTCTGTTAATGTACTAGCATTGTAGTGGTGAGGTAAGAGGATCTGCTACCTCATACCATCCTATGTGTAACAGGCAGGTTGACACAGGGTGAAGCAGGAAATGGACAGTAGTACCTTCCTGATAATGTACTGCAGTGACCTGCCTGCCCAACAAACTTTGCAAATATTCTCTAGGTTATCTATGGGAAAAACCTATGTTCAGCAATGGACTTTTAAAAGGCTGTGAAGAGGAATGAAAATGCGAAAACACATAGCTTTCAATAGTGTGCTAGATGGCAAGCATTTTTGCCCAAAATTAATATTCTGCGCTGTGTTTGCTGAACACTAAGCTCCCTACACTCACACAGTTCCTATCAATAGTCTTGCTGCCTTGCACCTCAATATTTTATTCAAGCAAAATTAGAATTTTTATGAAGAAAAATTACAAGTACTTTTCTTGTGGCAAAGTATAATGAAGATGTGAATATTTTTGTAAGAGCAGTATAGAACCAATATTTTGTAAAGGGAAACATACATGTGTGGTTTGTAAGTAATGCAATTAAAAACAAAGATTCTAACTAGGAAAAAATATATGCTAAATGTGACTGGATGTTATAGTCATTTTGATATTATTATGGTTAAGTCACGTTTCTCCAACAGCACTCAGTAACTCATAAAGATCTATCACTGTATCTAATATCTTTGTAATCTACGTCAATAGTGTCAACTCACTGAAGTAAACCCGGTAGTCAGGTGAGTACGGAGATCCTCTTTCTTCGGCGACGTACATTTTAAAGTAATCACGGCGCACTTTGTTTCTGATAACGGATGTGGTCAAATTCCGACTGAAGGGAGAACTTGTTACACAAAACTGTCTCGTCGTCGACACATACGATATGAAAGCAAAACGTGTTAATGACATGAACATGATGACCGTTGACTTATGCCTAAGCATCATAGTCTATGGTTGACGTAAGTTTGACGTTGACGTAGGCTTTGACGTTGACGTCTAAAAGATGTTGCCATAGCAATATTACATTACCATAAATATCATATGGACTAAACATTCAGTGACGATATCCGCGTTAGAAAAATATGCATATTTGGTTTGACTCAAAAGCACAAAGAAGTTGGCTTGGAAGTATGACTGGTCAGATTAATGAATAGGTGCACATAATTGCTCACTAAATGCTCAATTCAAATCTGCAATTGCTCACATTATTAATTTATTATTTAAATAGTTATTAATAATTTAAAATACAGAATTTTTTTTGTCTATTTACATAAAACCCATAAACTTTTTTTTAAATGAATAACTGCCCATAATTGCTCACAAAATGCTTAATTTAAATCCGCAAATGCTCATACTATTAATAAATTATTTATTAATAATTTAAAATACAAAATTGTTTTTACCTACACCGATCAGATTAATGAATATGCGCTAATAATTGCTCACTAAATGCTCAATTTAAATCTGCAATTGCTCACACTATTAATTAATTATTTAAATAGTTATTAATAATTTAAAATACAGATTTTTTTTTGTCTATTATACTTAAAATCAATAAACGTTTTTTTTAAATGAATAACTGCCAATAATTGCTCACTAAATGCTCAATTCAAATCTGCAATTGCTCACACTATTAATTAATTATTTAATTAGTTATTAATAATTTAAAATACAGACTTGTTTTTGTCAATTATACTTAAAACCAATAAACCAATTTTAAAATGAATAAGTGCGCATAATTGCTCACAATATGCTTAATTGAAATCCGCAAATGCTCACACTATTAATAAATTATTTATTAATAATTTAAAATACAAAATTGTTTTTTCTTACACCGATCAGATTAATGAATATGCGCTCATAATTGCTCACTAAATGCTCAATTCAAATCTGCAATTGCTCACATTATTAATTTATTATTTAAATAGTTATTAATAATTTAAAATACAGAATATTTTTTTGTCTATTATACTTAAAACCAATAAACTTATTTTTAAACGAATAACTGCCCATAATTGCTCACAAAATGCTTAATTTAAATCCGCAAATGCTCACACAATTATTAAATTATTTAATTATTTATTAATAATTTAAAATACAAAATTGTTTTTTTCCTACACCGATCAGATTAATGAATATGCGCTCATAATTGCTCACAAAATGCTCAATTCAAATCTGCAATTGCTCACACTATTTATAAATTATTTAAATAGTTATTAGTAATTTAATATACAGAATTTTTTTGTCTGTTATACTTAAAATCAATAACCCAATTTTAAAATGAATAAGTGCTCATAATTGCTCACAATATGCTTAATTGAAATCCGCAAATGCTCACACTATTAATAAATTATTTAATTATTTATAAAAAATTTAAAATACAAAATTGTTTTTTCCTACACCGACCAGATTAATGAATATGCGCTCATAATTGCTCACTAAATGCTCAATTCAAATCTGCAATTGCTCACACTATGAATTAATTATTTAATTACTTATTAAAAATTTAAAATAGAAAATTGTTTTTACCTAAACCATTCAGATTAATGAATAAGTGCTCATAATTGCTCACTAAATGCTCAATTCAAATCTGTAATTGCTCACACTATTAATTAATTATTAAATTAGTTATTAATAATTTAAAATACAGAATTGTTTGTGTCTATTATACTTAAAACCAATAAACCAATTTTAAAATGAATAAGTGCTCATAATTGCTCACAAAATGCTTAATTAAAATCCGCAATTGTTCACACTATTAAATAATTATTTAATTACTTATTAAAAATTTAAAATACAAAATTGTTTTTTCCTAAACCATTCAGATTAATGAATAAGTGCTCACAATTGCTCACTAAATGCTCAATTTAAATCTGCAATTGCTTACATTATTAATTTATTATTTAAATAGTTATTAAAATTTAAAATACAGAATTTTTTTTGTCTATTATACTTAAAACCAATAAACTTTTTTTAAATGAATAACTGCCCATAATTGCTCACAAAATGCTTAATTTAAAACTGCAAATGCTCACACTATTAATAAATTATTTAATTATTTATTAATAATTTAAAATACAAAATTGTTTTTTCCTACACCGATCAGATTAATGAATATGCGCTCATAATTGCTCACTAAATGCTTAATTCAAATCTGCAATTGCTCACACTATTACTTTATTATATAATTAGTAATTAATAATTAAAAGTACAAAATTGTTTTCGTCTATTATACTTAAAACCAATAAAAAAATTTAAAATGAATAACTGCACATAATTGCTCACAAAATGCTTTATTTAAATCCGCAAATGCTCACACTATTAATAAATTATTTAATTATTTATTAAAAATTTAAAATACAAAATTGTTTTTTCCTACACCGATCAGATTAATGAATATGCGCTCATAATTGCTCACTAAATGCTCAATTCAAATCTGCAATTGCTCACACTATTAATTAATTATTTAATTACTTATTAAAAATTTAAAATACAAAATTGTTTTTTCCTAAACCATTCAGATTAATGAATAAGTGCTCATAATTGCTCACTAAATGCTCAATTTAAATCTGCAATTGCTCACATTATTAATTTATTATTTAAATAGTTATTAATAATTTAAAATACAGAATTTTTTTTGTCTATTATACTTAAAATCAATAAACGTTTTTTTAAATGAATAACTGCCAATAATTGGTCACTAAATGCTCAATTCAAATCTGCAATTGCTCACACTATTAATTAATTATTTAATTAGTTATTAATAATTTAAAATACAGAATTGTTTTTGTCTATTATACTTAAAACCAATAAACCAATTTTAAAATGAATAAGTGCTCATAATTGCTCACAATATGCTTAATTGAAATCCGCAGTTGTTCACACTATTAAATAATTATTTAATTACTTATTAAAAATTTAAAATACAAAATTGTTTTTTCCTAAACCATTCAGATTAATGAATGAGTGCTCATAATTGCTCACTAAATGCTCAATTCAAATCTGCAATTGCTCACACTATTAATTAATTACTTAATTAGTTATTAATAATTTAAAATACAGATTTTTTTTGTCTATTATACTTAAAACCAATAAATCAATATTAAAATGAATAAGTGCTCATGATTGCTCACAATATGCCTAATTGAAATCCGCAAATGCTCACACTATTATTAAATTATTTAATTATTTATTAATAGTTTAAAATACAAAATTGTTTTTCCCTACACCGATCAGATTGATGAATATGCGCTCATAATTGCTCACTAAATGTTCAACTCAAATCTGCAATTGCTCACACTACTAATTAATTATTTAATTCGTTATTAATAATTTAAATTACAAAATTTTTTTTTCCTAAACCACTCAGATTAATGAATAAGTGCTCATAATTGCTCAGTAAAAGCTCAATTCAAATCCGCATTTGCTAAATTAATAAATAATTAAATAACTAATTGATAGTGTAAACAATTGCCGATTTCAATTAAGCATGTTGTGAGCAATTATGAGCAGTTATTCATTTAAAAAAAGTTTATTGGTTTTAAGTATAATAGACAAAAAAAATATCTGTATTTTAAATTATTAATAACTATTTAAATAATTAATTAATAGTGTAAGCAATTGCAGATTTGAATTGAGCATTTAGTAAGCAATTATGAGCGCATATTCATTAATCTGATCGGTGTAGGAAAAAACAATTTTGTATTTTAAATTATTAATAAATAATTAAATAATTTATTCATAGTGTGAGCATTTGCGGATTTAAATTAAGCATTTTGTGAGCAATTATGGGCAGTTATTCATTTAAAAAAAAGTTTATTGGTTTTAAGTATAATAGACAAAAAAAAAATTCTGTATTTTAAATTATTAATAACTATTTAAATAATTAATTAATGATGTGAGCAGGCGTTATCGAAGGCTCCCTCTATGTCAAGTGATACTACTATAGTTAGTTTCTTATCTTTGATGTTAGTTTTAATATGCTGTATCATATCATAGAGGGAGTCCTCGGTGCTGCGCTGTGGCATAAATCCATACTGTTTTTTGCTAAGTTTTGGTACGATGTGCCACTTGATTCGCCGTACCATCATTTTCTCTAGGACTTTCCCTAGAACAGGCAATAGACCGATCGGCCTGTAAGATTTGGGGTGCGTGTAGTTCTCTTTACCAGGCTTTCGCAGTACCACTACAGTCGCCTCCTTCCATTTACAAGGGAAATATGCTAGCTGCAAACATTTGTTAGCTAGAGCCAAGAACAGTTGCGGGTCCAGGGCAATGGCCGCAACGCAGATATCGGCTGTGAAACCATCATTTCCTGGAGCCTTTTTTGGATTAAAGCTGGACGCGGCCCACATAAGCTCCTCTACCGTAAAAGGTGGATCACTTGAATCATCAAGTGACCCTACGTTTACTGTTTCCGCAACTTTCCTTATAAGCTTGTGGTCCGCGTCATCCTCCTGGGTGTTGTCGTCCGGATAGAAGGTCTCCGCCAAAAATTTTGCTGATTCTGCGTTCTCTAAGATCTTCCCATCCCTTACAAGAGGGATATCTTCCTGTCTTTGGGTTGTGCGGCCTATTACCCTATAGATCCCGTCCCACATGGATTCACGGTCCTGTTTACTACAGAAACTCTTCCAGCTGGCGGTCTGTGTGTTCTTAACTAGTTGGTGATATTCCTCTTTTGTTTTGATATACTGCCCGACGACCCAATCTCGGCGTACAGGTGCTGCACACGATATTCTACGCTTCATCCTGGAGACTTCCTTTTTCCTCTGAGTCAACTCTTCAGTCCACCAAGGCAATCCTATTCGTTTTATGTTTTTGGTTTTGGGTATACTACTTTCACAAACTTCTACTATTGTTTCTATGTATTCTGTTACTTTCATTTCAAGTTTTTCTCTGTTTTCAAT